AATCTTGAATTAATAACACTGTTAGGGGAATTAAAAGCAAAATCGTTTCATTGACTTCGAAAGGCAAACAAATGATTGTTACCTCCAGATTGATTGTAGGCAACCGTTATGAATAAGTAGACAAGTCTTTAAGACCTATCGAAATTAAGTTGGTTTTAATAAGTAATGCACTATACAAAGAAGAACTAAAAAACAATATTTATAATTCAGTTGTTAAATGAAAGACAAGCCGCGCCTGTTTCTTGCTTTTACCGATAAGGAGTAACGAACAGTATGGACCAATTTTGATACTAGTTAGTCTTGCGAAATGGCCATTTTTTTTCTGCATGGCAAAAACTAAATTCTTTTTCCATTTGTAGTTAACGCAACGTCTTTAAAAAACCTTAAACCGCCATGAAAACCTTAGCGCGGAGTAACATCGACCAAACAAATATTGTTATCAAGTTTACACGGTAAAATAATAAATATTCGACTTTGCTGTAAAAATGACAGCTTGTTCTTCTCAGGCCTTACGTGTAAAACAGGAGACTGTAGATTGTTCAGTTGTCTTTGCTTTGGTGTTTTAATTTCCATTCCTGTAGCTCGAACAGTGTTTACGTCTAACTATTCTTGGCAGGTCATGAAGATTGAAAGTAAAGTCCCGTCAGCTGTTCCGTCGAGCACGCTTCTTCACGTTGCTTTTCTTCAAAATACTTCTAAGCCGTAATCTCCGTTTTTTAGTAATGGCTGTTCAAATTTTACTTAGTCAGCAACACGAGTCAGTTGACGCCTTAGAGAGTAATGCATTAGGCCACCAAGAGTTTAATCAACCTGAAACAAGATTTCAGCTTCAAAGGTCAAATGAACCGAAATATTGAAATATTTTCTTTGTCGCTTTACCTTCACCAAACACTAAAAAGAACCATCCTAAATGAGATTTGGGTAAAGATTTTTTCCCAATCCTTTATAGAAATATAAAAGATTAAAATCCGAGCATTTTCAAAGACTTCACGAAAACGTTTCTGAAATTGCCGCGCGATGGACTGGAGACTACGTGACGTCAATGTTGGTCTTCAGGGCTGAAAAACGTTCTGCCCAAGCTTCTGAGCATCCCTTATTGCAGGCTCAAGGCGGGCTTTTCGGTTTGTTGACGGCGTTTTTTGGTTTCGTTCTGAGAGAGTTCTGACTGAGACTGAATAAAGTACACAAGATGCGAACGTTTTCTCCTTGTATTAAGCCTTTTTATTTGTTGTTGTTGTTGTTGTTGTTTTTTAGTCACTTGAAAATTACTTTGGATTCAGAGCAACCAATGTCAGAGTAAAAAATGATCATTCCGTCAGTCTGATATGGAATAAAACGTTTTGATCATTTTCAAAGAGGTGGCTTCTCTTGGGCTTCGGGCTCGCCACGAGAGTTTAAATAATTAGATTTTTTTTTGCTTTGTATAACTTATGGCAAACAAAACAATAAACAATAAACATTCGATTTGTGAGTTGACTGAGTGTCCAGCGCTTCGCCTTCTTTCGCCGGGCTGAATCAAAACCCGCTTAAATTGTATTCTGTTATTAGTAGTAACTGTTACGGTTACTTTTTTACATGCCCAGGTTTATTTACCTTTGCAGAACCAGCCTTATCCTTGTCTTCAGTCAAAGAACCGTAATGCTAACGCATGTGAGTGAACAAACTTGTGCGCTTAAAACTTTCTCGGAACTATAGAGGGCCAGAAGCTTACTCGAAAAGGAAAGACTACTTAGATCATTTTTCTGTTGCTCAAGTAATAATAGTCAGAGTTTCTTCCTTTTTTCATTTTTAATTACATACAAGTTTTGTTTTATTTCTGAACGCAAATTTTCCTTTTCACTCGCTGTGAAGTAGCTGAGAACGACAACTGCAGCCAGTGACTTCAAACAATTGAATCTTTGCCCGTAAACAATTGCTGGAACTGGATTTGCTTGAAGGGAGCAAAACAAACCCTTATGTGCAGTTTTCAATAACTTGGACAAAATGGGATGAGCCGTCGAACCTCCCACGAACTATTTAAAAGTAGTCCAGAGGTAAAAGATCAGACAAACAAACAAACAAAACAAAACGACGCTAACAGACCTATGACTGAACGTCTCCTTGTCTTTTCTGGCCGCTTAAAGTGGCGTTTTGTCGAGTTTTGCAATCGTAGATACTATCCACAAAGGACAGTACAGTACAATACCCTTTATTACGAGGTCAATGTTCTTAGCTTAGCGACTGTGCAATAGTTATCAGAAGGGGGGGTATTACATAAAATTGCTGCTAACATAGTGGGGGCTCAAAGTAAAATCACTCATTTGACGGAGGGAGGGGCCTTAAGTTTTATTCGAAATGTAAATAAAATTAAACCAATAAAAGATTCTCAATACAGGCATCATGATAGACTGTAACAAATGTCAACACGAACAACTGTTAAACGATTATTGAAAATATTCCATCAAAATGAAAAGCAAATTCACAACTGATCAATTTTAACCCGTCTTCTAATTAAAATTGAGCTGATCCTATGTAAAGCAAAAATCATGAACTTGTTTTTCAGCTTCCCCCATAAAACAATAATAATAATAATAATGGAATTTATATAGCGCTTATACATCGCTGTTCTAAGCGCTGGGAATGGGAATCAAACAGATGGGAATCAAACAATGGAATCAAACAATGGGAATCAAACAGATCTCGTAGACAAGCTTTGTCGGTTTTTGATGTGAATAAAAGTAATGTTTCTTCATCGACTAAATCGATTTGCTGAATTCCATATACGTGTGGCTCATAGCAAAGTTCAACAGCCTCTCCTCTATAATGCAAGCTCTTTTTCGTCTGTTATTTGAAGCGTTCAATCTCCTGTTCTTTGATTTTTTTTCTCTGCTCCTTTCTCTTTCTGGATTCAGAAATTTTAGATTTTGAGCCAATGTGGTAAGCACCCCGGTACTTAGAAAATGCTTTGTCTAAATCTTCAATCAAGCGATCAACATCCTTCTCGATACTAGATGTTACATAATAACGTTTGTCATTATTCAAGCTGTGATGGCAGCTCAGTCCAGTTTCGAGTTTACCAGTGTTGTGGGGGGGGTTAGAACTATTTTTTTTTGTTTTGGAGGTGGGTAGTGTCTAACTTTTTGCTAGATAACTCTAGTTTTTCAGCTCCCACCTCCTGATAATTATTGCACAGTCCCTTATTAGCTACTTTATAGACATGCCACGAAAAATAAATAAATAAACTAGAAATAATAATAGAAAGAGAAGATTTCTCATAAAAACCTATATATATATATATATATATATATATATTTAAAAGTAGTAAAAATAAGAGTAGACCACGAGATTATTACATAATGATGTTAAAACTAAGCAAAATGTATTTACATGTATTTGCGTGATTAAAATGCAAAATTTGAGAAATTCAACTGAGACATCAAGTTCTTAAATGTTCCGATTTTATTAGCGCCACGAAACTGATCCAGAAGAGCGTTCCAAATCTTAGGTGCTGTATTACGCCACGATTTAAGTCCATAGGTGGTTGTATTTACTTTGGGTAGCTCGAGGATGTGTTTTCCTCTAAGATTATAATTAGTTCAAGAATTGTTCTTATATTTTGACTTCTGGACTATTTTAGTTTATAGGAGATTCGACGACTCGTCCCATTTTGTCCATGTTATTGACACACCCTTCGTCTGGGCCGCCTGTGGTCCAAGTCGTTTATCGACCTTCAGCTCGTAGTTATTCGGTTGATGTATCCCGCTGGCGGAGAATCTTACCAAAAGTTCGCAGTGGTGCTGTTCACTGTGTTAAGCTTTTGACAAATTTGGGCAGATTTGCTGAATACATTTTTCGAAAGTAGAGAAAAATGCGCACACTTGATTTCAGCCTCTTTGAATAGGCCATTTCTGAGTTCCCCCGGGTCTCTGTTTGAAAAAAAGGATAGGTGCTCAGCCTTTGATATGGAAATCATTTTTCATTCTCATGCAAATGAAATTCATTTTCACAAGAAAGGTTGTGCACCTAGCCTCATTTTGAAAGTGAGGATTTTTGGAACTCGGAAATGGCCTATTTTATCATATAGACGCGAGTGTCTTACTGGAAAATATACCACTCGTAAAATTCATGAATACTACATCCGGGACCCGAGTGGTTTATTTTCCATAATCTCACACGTGAGTTTATCGATGATGTAATTTCGGTAATTTTCGTCCGAAATTTGTAGGCGTCTTTTGAATTTTACTTACACATTTTTCAAAGCTTTGCATATATTTTGTCATTGTAGAGCCCTATTCCGTTCAGTGTTATTTCTCAAGATTATTGTAAACATTGTCTTATATTGCTGTATTGTAAATTTGAGCCATCACAATTACTAATCTATTATTTTATCAATGTCTTTTTGTCTATAAAATAAAAAGAACATTGCACGGTGTCTTAAAAATATGAATTTTATTTTCTCGTAAATAAAATTCATACCGTAAAATTCCGAAAATATAAGCCCCGGGCTTATATTTTTCAATACCCTTTTTGAGGGGCTTATATTTGGAGAGGCTTATATTCGTAGGTGCTTATCTACGGAGGGAAATTTGTGTTTCCAAATCGATTGGGCTAGCCTTATAGTTGGAAGTAAATTTACTGTTTTTGCTTTGTTTTACTTTGTATTTGAGGTCAATTTTCCAAGTAGAAGCCCCAGGGGGGCTTATATTTGGAGGGGCTTATTTTCGGTATTTTACGGTATCTTCGTGCCACCGTGCAATATCCTCTATATATCCACTTGTCAACAGAAAAACATAACCCTGAATGCTAAAGCAGGGACGTGAAAATATTTCTTTTCTTTTTCTTATTTAAATTTAACAAATGCAGAAGGGGCCGGTCAGTACCATTAATAGTTGATGAAAATACGAGCATTGTATTGTGTTGGGATGGAAATAATCTTTTATTACCTATTCATTAAGAAAAAGTGACATCTTAATACATGCATGCAAAGCTAGGCTTCAGAGAAACTCCTGTCAGTCGAAGTCTCAAGCAAAAACTTTAAGCCCCTCTCAGTTCCAGTCAATCAGCAAGTCCTATAGCTTGGACTATGAGTTTGAATCTACAGCTTTTTCTGTTGTTGTTGATAACAACCCTGAGGTATGGCTTTCTTGGTTTTACCCTAAGTATGTTCCTAGATATTCTCATAATAATTTTTCTTTACAGTAGCCTGCATAACAGGCGCTTTATGAGCCAAGCAAGGCGAACGCGGCATTTTGAGCGAAGCGCAAAACGAGCGCAAAGCGCAAGACGAAGGGAGGAGAAAAATAGAGCGCCTGTTATCAGTCCATTTTTCTGGCTCTTCCGCCCACCTATGCCCACAAGTATTGACTACCGGCGGTGATGTTTACAAGGACCAACGAAAACAAGATCTGTTACTCAAAAATTCTCACCTTTCTGGCTACCAGAAACACCGACAGCAGCATAAAACCACAGGAATAACGACTACTAGGGCGAAAATCACCTTCAATAATATAAGACTCGGTACGGCAAAATTAATGAAGTAAGATTTGCTCAGTCAGTCTAGTTTATGTCCAGTTTGGCAACAGCGGCGAAGAAGAAAGAGGGAAAACCTGTTGTTCAAACAAATTCCATGGTCATACGTTTCACATTATCACGAGCTTATGAGTAGTGTTTGGCCTGTCAACACTTAATTTCGAAAAGTTAGTAATTTGAGACTTTATCCAAACCTAGTTGGAAGCAATCCAAGAACATCTTTCCTCTTTTGTTTTTCCTTTATTTCTGGAACATTTGGAAGTAAACGAAAGCTTCTCGAACAGCATCGTCAAAATAACATGACTGCGTGACGGCCATTTTGTTTCAGACAAACATGCCAGAATCTCGCCAGAACAACGTGTCATCAATTAACCAATTGGAACGCAAAATTCATGTGGTGAACGTGGGAACAGCCAGAACAATGGGCTGGTAACAGGCGCTTTATTTTCCTGCTCCCCTTACCAGCAATATACAATATAAACCGTGATTGATATTGTTACTCGACGACGAAAATAATGAAAATTTTTCTGCAATACCTTCGAAGTAACGTGGAAACGCAGACATGTTTTGCTCGCCGCTTCTCTCCAACCGAAAAGTTATTTTTCGCATGGAGAGAAGCGGCGACCAAAAATACGTCTGCGTTCCCAGGCTACTTTTGAAGAGGCTCTTTCAAAGCTCCAAAATACCTGATTGGTCTGTTCAATCTCGTAAGCGAATTGGATTATGGTCGGATATATTTGACAGAACACGTCAAAGTTTTCAGCTCCATTTTTCTCGGAAATATTAGAAAGCCAAGGATAATTAGAAAAAATGAATTCAGGCTTAAAATAAACTTTGAATAAGCACGCAATTTATTTTTGTGTCTGCCTTGAAGTCAGTTCGTAATTTAATTTGTGTGTTTAATTTATGGGACGACGACGTTATTATTTTTTTCCTGACCGTCTCTTCCCGATGTTTGGAAAGTGCCAACGGATTCAAACTTTCTAGAAAAACAAACAAACAAACAAACAAACAAACAAAACAAAACAAAAAGAACAAAAACTTATGCCAAGGACAGGTTAGCCTGCTTAACTGAGGCGCTTTATGAACCAAGCGAGGCGAACGCAGCATTTTGCACGAAGCGCGAAACGAAGGGAGGAGAAAAATAAAGCGCCTGTTACCAGTCCACAAGTAGTAGTATTGGGATCGCTTGAAAGTGGTTTCCATATGATCGTAGCTAATTTAAAGTTACTAAATCAGGCTTTTTTACAACCTAATTTGAAGCAATCCGAGAACATTCCTCTTAAGCAATAAATTTAAACATTTCTTTTGTTTTCCTTTTGTTTCTGGAGCATTTGGAAATAACCGAAAGGCTTCTCGAACAGCATCGTCAAATGAACATGAATGCGTGACGTAACGGTTATTTTGTTCCAGGAAACATGCCAGACAAACGTGCCAAAACTACGCGTTCAGCAATTAAACCAACCGGAAAGCCACGTTCATGTAGTGAACGTGGGAAGGGAAGAGTCAGAACAATGGACTGGTAACAGGCGCTTTATTTTTCTCCTCCCTCGTCTCATGCTTCGCACTCATTTCGCACTTCGGGCAAGATACCGCGTTCGCCTCGCTTGGCTCATAAATCACCTGTTCTGCAGGCTAGAGACGGATAATAAGTTTTCAAATGCCCTGGGCGTTAAATTTGAAGCTACAAACATAGAGATGAACTTTTTAAAACTGTTACGTTTTTCTTGAATGAAAATCATCTCAATTCGGTCAAAGGAATATGTACAAGGATATTCAATTGGCTTAAAATTCCGTTAAGCCTCATTTATTATGCATAGTTTTTTCGACTCCATCCATGTGAAACAGTATGAGATTGCTAAATGCATAATAGATTTATGGGGCTGCACTGAAATCTCTCCAAAAGGTCGTAGTGGTGCTGCTCACTGTTTCAATCTTGAGAAAAATTTGAACTCATGTGTTGTTGAATATAATACATTTTCCGATATTAGCTAAAATTGTATACAGTTTATTTCAGTCTCTTCGAATTATTTCCCTTATCCAAACTACACTGAATAACTTTGGCTATTTTGCATTACACTGACAAACAACTTCCTAATTTCACCAAGGTATGTATCAGCGACGACGCCATGTGAAGTATCCCTTCTCCAGCACGCCAGTCCTGCCTGTAAAGTGTTGAGAAATGCTGCCTTAAATCAGAACAAGAAGATCTGGACCTTGAAACATGATCCAGATTTACATGGCTTTGCCTTACTGAACATGACCTCTGAGCAGCTGGGAGCTATTGCTGTGCAAGATCCCTTTATACGATACTACGCTTCGGCATATCTTCAAACCTCGCAAGCAAGCAATAAATCCTTTGAGTTGTACAACAAAATAACCGCTGGTCAGGAAATCACAGATATAACAGAATATCTGAAGTTGTCAGCGTTTTTTCAGTCGGCTCTAGAACCTGCAATTGGCGTAAGTATATTGTTTTGTTATTCAAAGACCGTGGTCAACTGTATAAAACCTTAAGTCAGATGTAACTGCTGACGTCTGACATTCAGTCAAGAGTGAACGGGGCTGAATGTCAGGTTATATGCGCAGGTGAAGTAATAAATCTGATATCTGAATTTTAAAATCGGCTCGGTGACGTCAGTGTATTGCTAGAGTAAACTGATGTTACAGCGGCCAATTTAGTTGACGCAAACCGTATCGCGTTCCGTTGCTGAGAATTTTTGAGTTTAAAACACTCTTTGTCCATGCAAATTCTATGCAAAGAAATTAATTTATTGTTTTGTCAATTGCGCATGACTAGCCCACCATGTCGTCTGTGTCAGTTCCCCGATTGTATATGTTAAATTTCCTGTCGTAAATTGTAACGGTCGTGACATTAAGACACGTGGTTTTTTTTCTTTTGAATACTGTTGCTGGTTCTGTTTCGATGAAGGTATATATTAAAACAAAAAAATTTCTTAGCCCAGCATCAAACTCAAGTCGTTTGACAGTGCATCTCTCTAAAAAGCCTTCCATATGACACCAACTCTACCACACACCGTTCAAATCTGAAAACTGAAATCCACTTTTAAATTAGTTTCCTGAGTTTGTTTCTTAACCTTAAATTACAAAAATTAGAGCAGTTTACTATATGATGACCCCGTCTATTTACGGATGGGAAATAGGAAAGGCTTGTTTTTTGTTTTTGGTTTTCTTTCTATTATAAAGTGAACGTCGATCTATTTTCGAAAACGTGGCATTATAACATAAGTCTGATGGCGTCGCGAAATGTCGGCTGTTTTCCCGGTGCTATTTTTTCGCGTACAAGTACCGCGTGGAAATTTTGTCTCTTCTTAATGCGTGACATTTTTTTGTTTATCTCAGTCTCTACACTGGTGTACTTAAATTCTAATGAAACTTGCAAGGCAAGATAACGTGTCAGATAATTCAAAAGATTTTAAATAGACGTCTACAGTCGGCGTACATGGGGGCTACACTTTGTTGTGGTCTAATATATTTTGGAAGGTATTATGCTTATCTCACCTTTTGCATGTTGAGTGTATAACTACTCCTATCCCTCCTTCCTGATCATCCGTCCGATATTTTGGGGACCTTACTACGATCCGACAACGGCGACGTCCATGAAAACGTCGCTGTAAAATAGACTCGGCATTCTTTTAAACCATTTCGCTATTATCTCAAGTCACCCGGTTACTTAAAGGAAGGGAATTGAATTTATGTTGGAGATGAAGAGGGATGACGCCCGAGTTCAGACAGAGATGGTAGAGTTTATCGCCTTGCCGTTCCCGTCGTAAAAAAAAACTTAAAATTTGGTCATTTCACGTTGTAGTCGTGCAGGGACGGCCAGGAAATGTACAAAAAAACGTGATGCACGAGCAAAGTTGTTTTTTTGCTTACTAAACCTATTGCTCTTTGACGTTGCCGTTGCCGTCGCCGTCGTAGTTTCGTAAGGTCCCTTTTGCCTCTTTGACGGAGACGACGAAAACTAATTTTTAATTGGGCTGTGCCGGCGGCCCAATAATCAGACAGCAAATAGACTTTGACATTTGTTACCATTAGGAGTATGCTCGGCTGCCATCACGATATGAAGCCTTCGTCGACAATAAGCCCGAGTGGTTAAACGACAAGCACTTTACTCAGCAACGCCTGGCTGGTTCCAATCCCATGTCACTAAAGCGGGTGACAGTTCACGGACAAGGTACGTCTCTGCCTACGCGACCAGTTGTAGCTTAAACAAATTGTATCTTCAAATCTCTTCTCAAAGGGTAATTTTCTGCGTACAGGACGTTTAAACGATGTGGGTACTCTAAAAGTTACCTTTCATTAAGAACTCAGAACTCAGAAGTTAGCAAAATAAATGGTACTCGAAGACTTGCTGAGCACACTTAAACTTTATAAGGAACGTATTATAGGACATTCTATTAGGTATAAGGTACTTTCAGTAAGGTATTGTTATAAATGGAATGATCGGGTTCTATTTCTTTAAACTCGCTCAATCGATCTGACTCGGTTGTTGAAACAAAAAAAGAATTCAAAATCCATCCGTCGTCTGTAAAATCAGGTCATGTTTGATCGTTTCTCCAAGCAGGCAAGATAGATCCATCTCATCCGCTTGAGATCTCCCGCTTTTGTCCCATAACTGGAGAAAAAAATATCTAGTGTTTAGTTCTGTTTACCATCATAAACCCTTCATTAAAAAAGCTTGACAGGTCAAAATGGCAAGATTTTATATATTTTATTTCATTAGCTTTACCCTGAAGAATACAAAAAAAAAAAAAAAAAAAAAAATTAAGAACGTAACAATACACTAATAATAACTTAAATATTTGGGCAGGGACACCGCAACAGCTAAAGCCAATTACTGCGGACCCAAAAAGTAAAATGACATAAAAGTAGCAATTTAAATCACACGCAGCAGCTAATTTCTTGGTCTAAAAACTTGGCTGTGTTACATTTCAAGCAAACACTTTTGAGGCTTCTTGGAGAGTCCGGGTCATAGTTTCTTGCTAGAGCCCGCGGGTAATAACCGTAAAGAACAGATTTAAAATTCTCAAAAGTAACATTATCTAGGTCAAGTCTAGTAAAAAGCAGGTTCCAGATTCTAGTGGTTCTAATGAAAAAAGATTTCTGAAAGGCAGAAGTCCTGCATTATTTAGGCACAAAAGATTGAGAGCTCGTTACGGATATAAAAGATATTGGCCTCGTTCTTTTTTTTTACAAACTTCTTATTGACCACAACTGGATCGGTCCTTTGAAAAGGCAAAAAATCGAGCCTGACCAATATCTAGGTCATCGTAACCTTATTCGCTTGTACAATAACACATATATTATAATGCTACCTTAATTTATTTATTTCGTGTAGAAAAGAGACAATGCACAGTAAAAACGACTGACGGAAGATGGTGCCATTTCCCGTTTACTTATCGTGGCAAAGTCTATCACAAGTGTACAACTAAAGACCATCAGAGACGTTGGTGTTCAACGAGTGCCAAATATATCTTAAAAAATAATTTTAGAAGATGGGGAAACTGTCAAGGTAACAAAAGAAACGTTATTAATTGTTACCCTATTTTTTACTGGCTGCTACTCGCTTTATATTTCATAATATTTAATTTGTATTACGTCTCCCTCTTCTTTAGGTAATGAAGAACAGAGAATGGGTAAGTTCAATTTGCTTATTTTATTGGTTAGTGGTAAGTGCCAATAAATAGAATTACAAACCAAGCACTGGTGTCCCAAAATAATCGTGTGGGAGCTGAGTGCCTCGTTCTACTGAGCCATACTGTTAGGGAAACCAACGACTGTTTTCTGTGAAATAACTGTTCGGAGAAGCAAATATTGTCTAGAATTTTCTATTACCCAAGGAGGGCTAACGACTGGCTAAAAATTCTATATGACCGTTCCATTCATGTACAATTTTCCAAGCTTATCTAATAAATTCCCAACAATTTTCTGAAGATTAATTTTCACATTTCACTTCCCAAGTGAGGCTATTTTTCGTTCAAAAAGGGAAACCAAAAATTTTCGGATTCAAAAATGCGATGGAGAGAAGAATAAGAAAATTTCTAACTTTCGTAATACGTCAAATTGCATCTAAAATTTTCGGGAAAATAACTCTCAAGCGCTTCTAATTTCGAAAAGACTCAATTTGCCGTAGGATGACAAAACAGAATGATACAAATTTTATAGCGTTGCTCAGAATGTTTGCTAGAGATTTAAACTGAATTACTCTGGATAGCCTAAAAAGTGTTTTCAATGCATTTAGGAGGAAACCGCCGTTGAGTGCCCCTGTGCTGTGTTTCTTCCTTTTTATCAAGTATTTTTTGATGCTATCGAGTATATTGTTGGCTCAGAAAATGTAGTGCTCTAACTATTTCTATTCATTCGAAGCCATGTTTGACAGGAATTTGTTTGCCTAGAAATAAAAAGTGTTTACGTCTCTTAGTCACTGAATGAGTTTTATTAGTTTGCTAAGAAGGGCACTGACTCCTCTTCACCAATTCAGCTTCAACATCTTATTCAGCAGGGAAGGGCTGTGTGCAGGGTTCAAATTATTGATCAAAAGAATATCACGAGATAAATCAGACAATTACTAGCCGCAAAATCACTAACTGGGAAGCGCCGGAATATTACTACAGCTATAAAACTACTAGTCAGGAGCAAAAGAGGAGCTAGCTCGCTCACTCCTGTCACGAGTTCGTCTGGAAAAGTACTTAAAAAGAAAAAAAAGGGTTTAAAGGCTTGTTTATAGTGGAAAGTGCAGTTAGCTTATCCAGCTAGTTTACAGGCACTCCACTCAAATACTTACAAACAAATAATTTAAACATAACATAACAGGATTAAAAACCCCAACTGGCAGGAGGCAACCGGTTGGCTATTTACAAGCGTGGCCGAGGATTTGAACTCGGGAAGACCGAGAACAAATCCAGCAAGTGGCCAGAGGCGGACTCGAACCTCGGACCGAGGGATTACGAGTCCAACGCGCTGACCACTCGGCCACGCTGCCTCCTTGTATCCGCGACTTCATTTAAGGTTAGGGTATATATGAGACAAGCTGTGTTCCTCAAAGTCGTCCTCTTGGTCTCCAGACTTAACACGCCCTGCGAATTTGATCCTCCTCCCTTCCTCCCCCTCTTTAGTTCTTAATGGTACTTTCATCTTAGCTTGGGTGCCTTTTTCTCGTGCCTTCAACTTTGCCGTCTTACGTGGCCAAAATTTTACCCAAATACTTCGTTGTTGCTCATTTCTTTAAGCGCTCTTGCAAACAAAGCTCGAGTGGATGACCCCGAAATTTAGGGTATAAAAACAAGCTGGTAAGGAGGCACAATTAACATATCTTATACGAAAGCCTTTTTCCCGTGCTTTCAGTCGGCGAGGACTGCAGTGTCAAGACCACAAAAGGTGAATGGTGCCATTTTCCATTTACTTATTATGGAAGGAAATATACGAAGTGCACTAAAGATGATCACATTCGACCGTGGTGCTCAACTACAGAAAACTACACAGGCAAATGGGGAAATTGCAAAGGTAAACCCTCGCGGAAGACGCATTTCTTTTCCCTAGGTTTGCGCTAAAAGATGACTATCCATTTACTTTTTTGCTAATCTACCTAAACTATTCACATTTTAGCCAAAAATGATTTTAAAGTACCGTGAGGTTGTGACTTTGCTGATACTTATAAGCTCTAAACAAGTCCCCTTAAAAAAGTGTCAAAGAGAATCGTCCCTGTTTAATTATTACAGTCAGTGATGGAAAAAATCTGCGAACCTGTAGATCGATTTCACTTTCGTGATCAGTGGCTATACAAATTTCTGCGAACAAAAAAAAAACGTTTTTACATGAGAAAGTGTTCAATTGCCACTTAGATCATTTTTGACACTCGATCTACTTGGTTCTATTATTGGTGAGGTAAGTAAAATGTAAGGAAATGAAATTAAATGAAATAAAACAAATTAAAAATTAAACCGTTATCCTACAAATTAGCCATCACCTCATTGAGGCAAAGACACTCTTCAACTGATTTTGGTTTTGTTCTTTGCAGGGAAAGAAGAGAAGAGAGGAGAGCAGCGTGGTAGGTACACTAAACGGTTGAGATCGATCCAAAAAAAAAAAAATTCAGTTCTAACACTCGCGCCAAAACGTGATCCCCATTCTTGGAGTTCAGGAGCAATTTGAACAACTTTTCGTGATGATTTCACTTCATCGTTTTATATTACCACATCGTTTGAATTACAATCGTTTTGAGTTACTAAGAATATATAAAAGCACTGAAGATTCTGCTGATACTTCAATTCGGTCTTATAAAAGATAAACCGGTGGATCAGAAGCCCGATTCAACTAGTCTGCATAGATCACTGAATCGTAAAAACTTCGATTCAGCTTCACTTTTTTGACATTTATCTGCCAGCTAAATTTTAATGGCAAACAGTCGAACGCAGTTACTAATCTTCGATTACTGCTACTTACTAGCTAGTTTAAAAGAAAAAAAAAACATTTTATGCATTACCTTACAATTATAGTCTTATCCTTATTAGGACCAATAGGACTTGATTGGAAGGAACTAAAGGCAACATTGAATCCCACCTTTGAATGGCAAAAAGCCGTTCAAGCAACTCTGGGTACAGACGACTCTTTAGAATCGGTATGGATAGTCCTAATACTTTGAGATAAAAAAAAGAATAAATAATAATAATAATATTAACAATAATAATAATAATAATAATAATAATAAAATCAGCTAAACTAAACTGAATATATCGCTTTTCATTTTATGGATCTGTTTGCAATTTTATTTCTTCACTGGATGGAATAGTACTGATGAAAAGAGATTAACTGAATAATGTAATGATGACAAGAAATGTGTGACTGGCTCAGTGATCGTCTAAGCAATACTGCGCAAATAGGAAGTTGATCAACAATGCAAGTAGACAATTAATACAGAGGAAATTAAATCATTTTGTTGAATCTGGTGAAACGTAACGACTGCTTCCAATTTATCGCTAAAATATAATAAACTAGAAATACGTGTATCGCAAAACCTCGCAAGGCTCGTGGGAGGCCTATAAAATGTCAGGTGTGGGAAGGGGGAGAGAATTGGAGCAAATTGTGTAGCTTGAAAGGGCTGTTTTCAACACTGGCTCTAATACTGGAAGGTGAGATGTAGTTAATCTTCTTTAGGCTGGGGTAAATTTGAACCCAGTGCTCTGTCGTTAAAAAGAATTTTCTTGCGAACTGAACCACAGCAATGAGACTATTTACACTTGTTGTAGTACATAATCGCACTTGACAACTAATTGTTTGCAACGGTAAGGTGCAAATATTATAATCACTTACGCTAAAATAGACATTACATGTAGCAATGTCTTCATGATTAAGGTTGCAGTTGAGGAGAATTATGAAAGCGATCATGACTCATGATTATTGATTATGCGGTACCCTCATTAGCACTGAGTCATCTCTGTAAAAAGTACCAAATCATTTATAAAAGTGTTCATAGTTATTTGTGTACATGTATGAGAAACAAATGCCCATGCACAGCTGCATGCAGGAGTGAACTTGTATCAAATGTCCACATACAAGTCATGTTGAGGGTGATCAGTTTCTCAATTCAAAACATGCATGAGCTTGTTCAGACATGGTTGCCAGAGGCAAAGTTTTTGAAATTCCCAGATTGACAGTCAAATGTACACTTTCCTTGACCAAATGAATTGACAATTTGACCAGGCATTAATGGGTTCCAAATTGACCAGTCAAAACTTCGCGTACCGGACACAGATGACGCGAAACAAAAGATTTCTTTGTTTTTTGTTCAGGGAAAATCTGCTTGGTATCAATGGTTTTTGTTCTTTTGTTTTACGTCATCCGTGTCCAGTACACAAAATAAATTCCTTTCGAATATCAAATAGGATCGAAAATAGGAGGCCAGCGTTATGTTTGACTTAAAAGTCCACAGCTGTGTTTATGTATAAGGCTGCTAAACATAGATATATAGTTTATTTTAGGATGGTTTTGGGGAAGTAAATGTAACGAAAATTGTAAGCGAAAATTTTGTTCAGTAAGGATTTTGTTTCACATTATCAGTGCTCTAAACTGTTCATTGTAAAATAAAGCTTACTGTAAAACCCATCGTTGCTCATGGTTTAAAGGCTGATCGCCTGTCTTCAGTCCGTTGGAATGATATTCTTGACGTTCATTGTACAGATCGTGTAACTCTTGCTTCCTATATCGCTGCATCGAAGAAGATACTTTTGATCGTAAACTTCAAGCGTTCCCTGATCTCCTTATCGCTTTTTAAAGCGTTGGCACTCGGTGTTCCCTCTCTTCACCGGCTTGTTTGCTGTGTAATTGTAGTATTTTGTCGCTACCTTTGTACATGTTTGTGGTCGCCGTGTTGACGACGTTGCCTTCACTGTGCTAAGCGATTTTCTCTCTGCTTCGCGCTTTGTTGTTGTCGTCGTCTACTCCGCTCGCGATAAATTTAATCAGCATTCTCCAGAGGAGTTACGGTGGAAAATCTTCGCCGTGGAGGATTTTCGTGATGATTTCAAGCGACCAGTGCAGAACTGTTAAGGGGGACCTAAGGAACATGTTTAATGTTGTCGGCACTTTTGTACTGCGTGCAGAGGAATTTTAGAAGGCGTTAAAAGAAGATCACTGTACTGCCCTGCATGAGAACGAGGCTGAACAATAAAACGACTGAAAAATGGCCGTTTATTGGAATTTTGGAACAAACTACAATCAGTTTCGATATTCTGAGATGTCTTACTTAATAAGAAGTTGATGGTAACACTTTTGCGTGGTCACGTGTCCCGAAGTAGAGACTTAATACAATGTTACCCTTAAAGAGTACTAACATTAATACCTTTTCACATTGACAAAGTGAAAGCCATATGTTTTTGACAAATTTGGACTTTCTAATCTTTCTACACCTCACTGTCAGGGTCCTCGTCCTCAACCTTTAGTGTATTAGTATCTTCACATGCATTTTCACAGGGATCATCACTGTCACAGCAAGACTCAGAGGTAGGCGTAATTCAAGCCTGATTTCCGGCAGTAGCATCTATTGTCTGAGCATGCGCATCGGTTCTTTCACAGCCGCACTTGACCAACAGGACGATTTCTTCAGGAGCAGATGCTTCCTTTGTCATAACGTGGATCCATTTATCCTCCCTTTTCTCCCATCGAATCCATCTGGCTGTGGCAAACTAGGACAGCACACTTTATCATTGTTCCAGACTATCATTTTGATAGTAGGCGCGGAGAATTGCTTCATAAAACGACACTTCGTTTGGTGGAAGCCTATCCGATTCGCCTGATTTTTTTCTGAACATATATGTATGTCATCTTAGTTCCTTGACTTGTGAGATACCGGTTCCAGGCTGATATAACTGGCTTGTAAACTTCTGCACAAGGACCAATATCTCGTCTCGGGGGATGCACTGTGGCTCCAAGGCTTCCAAAAGCAGTTATGGTATCTTCTGCTTCCATGAACGTTTTCCAGCATAAAAGTTTCCCTTTAACAGAAAAACGCCCGGTGATATCAGCGTGGAACGCTGGTAATGCGGCACGTTTAACTACCGAGGGCGCTAGCTATTGGACTACGACCAATCACACGATAGTTATCACCCGTAGCAAAGACAAACGATGTCTTCACACAGAGCGCCGGATAGCGCCTTAAAGGAACAACTTACCTCTGTGTCTGGAGAGTGGATATAAAGCTCCATTGTACCGCTGGCAGTTGCGTCCAGAGCATGTAACAACATCATCTTGGTGTCTGCTTCTTCTTGATCACTTTGAAGATGGTTTCCATTTTGTTGTGTTGCACGACAGTAGTAACTCCAGGCCCCAACAACTTATAGATTTGTATTCATAGCATGATCTAGGAAGTTCTCTGCCAGGGAGCTAAAATAGATAGCTCGTTCTCGGTCTTACAATGAGAAAAGCATGGAATTACTAATACGTTAATATACGGATCTTGACCAGCCTGCCTGTTTATTCAGGTAGCTGTTTTCAGACACTTTGGCAACTTATATTTATCGAAAATCAAACAAACCTCATCACTGGACTTGTACTTATGGATGATTCTGGCAGTAAAGCGCTCAGCTCATTGCGAACAGTCTTTGATATCGACCGCTTTGTAGAGAGATTGACGTTCTGCCAATTTATGGCGTCAACAACAGCAACTCGCAGCTGAGATGATGGTTCCATATTTACATTTTCATTCGCACGAATCTGAGGACCAGTAGTCGCTCTTTGCACTGATTCATCACCAAGCGCTTAACTTTTCAAGAATTGACATCAAAGCGTTCTTTACAAAATGGTGAAGCATTTTACCATCGGGTGCAAACAAAGACCTCGGAACTGACAGAAACCTCAGACTGGCCAATCACTGAAAACACCCATTTTGTGCAGCTATATTGATTGCCTACCGTAACAAGAGTGCAGCTTCAGACAGTGCATTCATTTGTTTTGAATCGTTACTACTTTCTTTTCTGTTAGATGAATGGTAGTATAACGTATCTTCTTAATGCTTAGTCGGTCTTATTCTTTAGCTTTTGGTGGTCTGTGAAATTCCACTTCAGGTATCAAAGTTTGACTTAACGGTTTTAGCGTTTTTCGATAGCATACATCCGCATGGACATTGTTTACTTCAATGAATTCTCCCATAAATATGCCGCTTGTAAGTCGTACATAGTCAATATCATACCTTTTCTTAAGTTGATCTCTATCATTACTGAAAACTCTGTACGTAAGGACTGGGTAGCACAATTAAAAGGGCTTTCCCGCGAGACTCACTGCCGTCACAAAAAGAAGCAAGGGTCTATGTTAAATGGTGATGTTTTAGATATCGTCAGCCGTAGAGGTATTTCCTCTGGCTCCACGTTTGAAATCTTCCGTCTTGTTTCATTAGCTCCACCCAACTCTCTCTCTTACCGTTCTCTTGCTCGCCTAAGCAGTCCCGTATAGACCACGAGCAGTCTCTCTTTTGCTCGAAAATCTGTGAGCGTTTGCGATATATGACTCTATGGATGGCGTCCTTACACCACTTTAACACTGTCTGTGCCACGATACTCCTTTATTCTTAAGCTTTTGAGCTCTAAACGTTTTTAGTTTTGACCCAACTTTCGAAATATTCTAAATGGACGTAAGACTGCCATTCTTGTATGCACGTCAATACTATGTCATGAGAAGTCGGTTTCTCTACAAGTCGTTCATTTGGCGTAATTTTGGCCACAAATAATACACAAACTTAAATTGAGGTCTTTAGTCCCTCCAGTTTCTGTAGAACTTGACATTTAGACCAGGTAAAAGACTTAACGGCAATATGTATCCCAGATGTTCATGTGGCAACACACAACACCAAACCAGAAAACTGGAATATGTATTAGCAAGTGCAATGAAGAAAAAAATAGCCTATTGATAACTGTCAATGTTTGAAAATGGAATTTCTTATTTTATTATAAAGCAGTCTAGTTTATACCTCAATTTTTAAGTGCCAGGAAAAAAACGAGGAATGTCCACTTTTGTTGCTGGACAGATTACTTGTTCTCCCACATTGATATTCCAAGGAATCTTACGTTCATCTAAGGCAACGGGCTTCTTCTGAGCTAAAAATTTGGATTTTTAACTTTTACCAATGCACTAGAGGTAATTGAACATTCCTAGATATCTTATGAAAAATTACTTTTACATTTACAGAAAAGAACGTGATTGAACAGCCGTTTTTTAAGCATTTCCAAACCTTAGCCTCGTTTTCATGCAAAGATCAATGGGCAATTTTCCATCGCCCCTTAAATACCTCCTGCACGAATTACAGAGGTGCCGGCAGCATTAAACATGTTCCTTAGGTCCCCCTCAACACTTCTACACTGGTCGCTTGAAATCATCACAAAAATCCCAGGCAATTTTTTTCAGGGACATATGCTCCCTGACTAGATCGTAAACATTCTTTCACAGACGATGAATAAACACATCCACCATGAAAGTACAGGTAGCCCAAGCTCGAAATATGAGCATCGGCGAACATCGGCATTGTTGCGTAACATTCGAAATTTAAGGATTTGTTTGAGGGAAAAAACCTATCGTTTCTGTAACCTACGAAAATGAAAGAATTTCTATAAAAACAGCTTACCTTACTTAAATGTGTGTTACGTCTCTCCTGTGTGGTCCATGAGCCGATTTATGGCCGTTTAATGGGTTTTTATGTAAACGGTTTTCTCTCTATATAAAGGTTTAGAGAGAAAAGCGTTTGCATGAAAACCGGCCAATTCACCGATGTCGAGGTGAAATTAGGTTAGGATCCAGAGCAGTAGAAAATTTCTAATCCTCAGTTATTCCTGTGACCTTTTTTTTAAACAACTTCTTACACCTGGCTAGTGGCTCCAATCTTTGCGTAAGTTCTTTCTTGTCACTAGATACTTTTAGTTTTATGGCATTGCAATAATGCTGTAACCTTTCTTTGCTTAGTTTATCTAGATTCTCCGATTGAATATCAATAAATATTTGTTCGAAAGAAACATGCTTCGTCTGATTGTCTGCCATTTTGAAACTGGACTTTTCAAGAAGTCCGGCAAAATCTGGTAGTCCTGGGTAAACTCACAAGCAAAATTAATTAGGTCTGTAAGTTTTTAAAACAATAGTTGTTTTAAAAACTTACACTAATTATTAGTGTGTTTCATCTACTGTACTTCCCAAGGAATAGTGTAGGTAGACTAAAGCATTGGGGGAGGCTGAAAAATGTTTTCCATATGTAGGACAAAGATATTTTGTGGAATTAACCCAATAAAAAATTACACATGCATTGTACCTTAGCTCTCTAAAGTAAATATGGAAGAAAATTGACAATTTATAAGTTACTTGACATATTATAGCCCTTTTGTATCAAGTTCACTGTCAATGAAATGTTAGCATTTGGAACTGTTACATCAAAAATGAAAGTGGTGCTTTTGCACCATGAGACAATTCCCTTGACTTTGATTGGGTAGTTGCCTCTTTAGCACAGATAGGGTCAAATAAGATTTTTACAGTATTGGCCAACACTTTGTATACACATCGTAGAATGTCAATCCTGTTCTTGGGCCAGCAAGCATTCAAATTAACCAATCCCGCATGCGTCCAATGTAGTTTTCATTGTAGATCCGCAGGGTCAACGTTTTTTTGCTATGTCTGTCTCCTTGTACTGAGCCTCAAATTTCTTTGGCGGACGATTATGTGAAAGGCCTTTGGCATGACACGTCTTCAATTCCAAACCCCTTATCTGTCAGCACTGTAGTCCCCTCATCTTGTATCATATCAAGTACCCCACAGTCAGCTGCTAAGTCGTTATCAGAAATTGACCCAGCATAAGTGTCAGTGCACATGACAAGACTGGCATGTGGTGTTATCCAAATTCCAGTTTTGCGAGTGTCATGGTTTTTGCATGAACTGAATGTTGCATTGCTGATGGCAAAGTTTTCCGGTTAAGCAATCCAGTTCTTTGTGCAGTCCCCCAGCAACACTGTGTCCTGGAAGCCAGTCGCATAAAATTCCAGGAACCTCTCCGGGACAGGGACTCAGGTCTAATTGATCAAACAGGGTTGAGAGAAAAACAGCCCATGCTGTAAAGATACTGGATTGAGTTGATGTACTGGTGCACTTTGCGAATTTAATTTCTTTCCAACTGTAATACTTCAAGTGTTTGTTTTTAAAGGGCCAGAAATTGGTGCAGAGCGTAGCCAGCACAATTCCAGTGCTCTTGCTTGACTTTCTGGGACTCTTGATTGCCTACCTCAGTAAATTTGACGCTTGGCAAGTCCTCCAAATTTGATCTCTTGCCACCCGACCAGTGCATTGAGCAGATGACCTGATTATTGAAATTTACATCTTCTTTCCGCTTTCCTAGGATTTTCAAATAAGCATCCTGTACCGTCTTTGGTGCCGAACCAACTTTAGTTAATGTATAGTACTCGACATTTGGAGTTTTCCACGAGTTTTGCAGAGGGTACTAGCACAAGACCAGTGCCAACATCATGTAGACTTCATGTACGAAGCGCAACCTTCGTGCTGTTCGCGGCCATCATGAAATTTGAGTTTATAAAAAAGTCTGGCAAAATCAGGTAGTGCCGGACCCCCGTTCGGTATGAGAGTAGGCAATGGATGGGCGCTGCGAGTTTGCAGCTCACTATGATCCACGAGCGGTCCACGCACTGCGTGCGTGCTTCGCGCGCGACGTGATTATAATCTGTCATCGCGAAGCGCTTCGCTCGGAATAAATAAATAAATAAAACCTAAAAATCTCACCTTTTATCGGAGGAATAAACCGATCGATTTCATTTGAGCCCTTTAAATAGTCCTAGTTGCATCAAGGGTACAGAAAATACTCCGTGCCTGTTCATTATCAAAAAATACATAACCTAATAAGCCTTGTGTTGCATTAATTAATTACTCTGCTGGTATTTAGCTATTAGGCTTAAGAGACACTCGCTCTTTTGCTGCTTGACGAGAGTCACCTTATTTCCAGCCAGGCAGTTGTATTAGTTATTTATTTCGTTCAAGAAATTTTAACGACGGTTTCACTTTTTTGCTTTGCAGGCTATAGATCAGGGCCGCATTTACACTCTACGATATGAGATGTGTGACGACATGGCAAGATCACCAGATCTTACTGATAGAGATCCTCGAAGAAAAATGTGGAATTTTCTCTCTCCTATCGCTTTGTTTGCGGCTAAGGGGAATAAATACGGCAAAAATGAGCTTATCCCCGTGGCCATTCAAATGGATTATAAACCAGGTAAAATGCTAAATACATGTTACTGATTGAAAATGCCCAAGTACATAACAAGAGCTAGAGAATAGCTCATTCTCTCTAGTACATATCTAAATGTAATTGGTAGTTATCTGCCAAAATGTTCCTTCAATACGGGGAAGGGATCATTCAGTTTTACAATTGTTTCGCGAAATCAGTCTAAACTAGGCTATTTCACTGACGTTTTACAAAGTCACATTCATTTCATACATCAGTATGTAGTTGAAATTGCCGCGCATGCGGGTTTACTACGTAATACATGATGGGTTTGGCTTAGTGATCAGAGGCCAGGAGAGCTACCTGTTATACCAGTTTTCGAAGCGCTTCCCAGGCATTCCTATTATCTATTTCTTTTGAATAGGAAACTAAAACATTAAACTCTAAACCTGATTTCTCTTAAGAGTGTGTCCATGAGAAAACCAGGCAGAACCAGGCAGGGGGGTGATAATGCTCAAATCACCGATTTCGCTCAAACTTGGCACAAATGTTAGGTATCAGGAGTTAGCTTATGTGATAGAATGTCAGGTCAAAATATTAAATTCCCTGGGAGATCCGGGCTCCCCCTGTAAAAATCGCCATTTTGCCCGTTTATGCATAATTAATTAGCTAACTTTACGATGCCAGTGCAACAAACAGAAAAGCCACCTGGAACTTAAATGCACTGAGAGATAATCTGACATCATAAGACTTTAAGCACAATAAACTGTTTAAAGTCGCCGGTTCGATTTCCCCCCTTTTAGCCCCCTTAAGTTGGGTCATCATTTCCAAGTTTTGAGTAAGACGTAAAATTAGGGTATTTTATTCCCAAATATCTCTGATGAGCAACCGCTTATCTTTATAACTTTTGCATGAGTAGTTAAAGCCATCACTTAAGTTGAGAAAAAGATCATAAAAAGTTTGGGAAATTCACTTTCTTCCATGTGTTGACATAAACTGTTCATGTGACTGAACGACTTTTGCATATTTCATCAAAATTCATGCCCTCACAATATTCGTGTGTTTGCCTTTGAATGAGGAGAAATCGAACAAAAAAACTCATCAGACAATGATTTAACATTAATAAGGGTAAAATCATAAAAATTGTTGTGCAAGAAACGCTAACGATGATTTTTGATAGCTGTATACGCGATCTTTTCAAGTAAAAACAACATACAAAGATTTAATTCACAGTTCTACTTACTTTAACAATTTCGCCCTAAAAACAATATAAACGATCAATAAAATCCATATACGTATCTCTTAGATGTCTCAATTGCTAGTTTGTGCCCGCTTTGATTTGTTCTTCATGCCACCTTCGATGTCCAGTTCAGCGTAGTTCAGCGTCGTGACTCGCTGTACGACTAAAATTCCTTAGCCATCAGTTTACGCACCAAACTCCTAATCAAGTTGTTTTAGGACAAAACAATACAAAAGGTAAAAAGCCGATTCTTAACCCATTGAAAGAATTATTTCTGCCACTGTTGTAGCTCAATTCACATGTTGCAAACGTCCGACATCTTTGACATTAAATGGAGCCCGCATTTTTAAGCAGCGGTTGCCACCACACGGAAACATCGTATCGGGAGTCAGGAACCAGGAGCTAGGAGCCAGAGTTTAGTGAACAAAATGACTTTCTGACATTCTCTGAGAATATTTTATTGTTATTGTATGCTGATAAATAATTTAGAATTCCAAATCTATTGGCAACTTTATTCAGACGATGATTATAAATGATCCCATGTCTTCTCAAACTCGGAGATAGAAGTCGTTTTGTCTTCGTGTTTTGGAAAGAACTATTTTTTCTATTTTAGTTGCACGTGAAATAGCAGCGAAGTGAAGCCGGGTGTTGGTGCAGACCAGTTCAAAGAGACAAATAAAGCGTGAGACACGTCCAGATTGGCTTGCGACAAGAATTCCATTGTTTTTTTTCATACTGGAGTCCCTTCTCCCCGGGGGAGTGTCCAAATTGCGTACAAATGCCCTACCCTGCTGGCCCCAGATTTGACTGTCATAAACAGTGAATTTTTTTATCTCGCACGGTCTTTTGGGGATCTTATAAAGCCTAACTGTGGCGCTAATGTTCCCAAGTAGAATTCAAAATACACCACACTTTCACATTGAGTTAGATCTTTTTCTCAAACAACCGCTTCCATATGTTTAACACCCCTCCCACATTCCCTAGGAGAGATACTTCAACTGTAATACTTCGATTTCAAATTTCTCACCCTACCCAGGAAAGGTCAATTTTCTCGTCCTAGACATCGATCTCGGAAGGGCCTTTTTGCGTACTCTTGGGCACCAAAACCAGTTTAGTGCCCAGCCGTGTGCCCTGCTGAGGCAGGCAGATGTTGAATTATGGACAGACACAACAATTAAGTTACAGACATTTGATGTTCCGGTCCGTGCGTGGTCGGAAGACACCTAGTAAATAATGCCCATGGGGTTGCCGAAGGAAAATTTGGGTTTTACGAGAGTCGAACTGCAGGAGGTCTTTAACGAGGAAAAGTGCGGACACATCTACTTTTTGGAGTGAATGTACTGCATGCAATTTTTAAGTTACAATATACTATAGATAAATCTAATTTGTGTCTAAAGTTCCTCTCATACTCCGAGTAGCTTAGGACATACAGGGAACGCAGAGATCAGACCATTGTATCATGGAAAATTCTCAATCAGACTGTCATCGTAAAAAGTGGTCGTGGTCGTTTACTGGATGTGGATGTGTTCGTTTACAGGAGGTTTCAACTGCAAGCGCTTTGACTGGATAATATTTGGTGTGTTGAATAAGTGATCGCTTATTGGGAAGTAGTCACTTAATTTGGGTGGTCGCACGTAGGTTCGACTGTGCCTCGTTAAGCGAAAATTTGTTAAAATGTAAGAGAAATCCTAAAATTGTAAAACAGTGGAAGTTCTCGTACGAGGGCGCCCTCGGGACGAGAAAAAGGTGTCCTTAACTGGATCTCGCCGCTTACAAGAATGAATCTCATATGCAGCATAGTTATGCAAGTGGAATTCAGCCACTTTAAAAGTGGTGTAAAGGTTAGATATAGCCGCTTACGGAAGCTCCTCCCAGCTACAAATTAACACTGGTAATAGCAAAAAACTGTTTTTTAGTGTATATTTACGCTGATGTTCTTGCCTTGTTGTAATTTAGGTAAAAGCATACAATTCAGTTTGTATTTTCAAGTGTCACCGGACGAGTATGTGAAAAAACGGTAACTCTGAAACGGATATATAAGAATGATTCATAACAGTGACGAACAGCCATATGACTGTGGACATGATATGAAAAAAAAAACAACATTCAGAGGCGGATAAGATTTCTTTCGAGAGTCTGCTTAGGAGAGCTTTAAATCAAAGCTAACATCTAATTCGCCGGTAAACCCTTCAAGTGTCCGCGGCCGCCTACGGGAATGTAAAAATCCAGAGTTTGTGTGGGAGTTGAAACGGGATTTTGTGATGGCGGTCGTAAGTAGAGCTATTCGCTATATACGAGAGTGTCCGTTAAGAGAACTTAATCTACTGTATGAATCCGAAAATGGTAGCTTAAATGAGAAGTGAATATAGTGTATTAGTCTGTGTTCAAGAAATTGTTCTCTTACACCTTCCTTATAGCCAAAGAAGTCTAGCCGACTTTTTTTTGCAATGTATTAGTGCCCCCTTTTGGGTCTTTTGTATTCCTCAGAAGTTTTTCCTCAACACGTTTATAAACGGTTATTATTATATTTTTGTAGTGAATAATATACCCAGATACAGGTACCAACCTGTATAGTTGTAAGACTACGAGGATTAAAATACAACTAAGTAAGTAATTATACCCAGTGGCAAGTCATTAATTGTCTAAAAATTGCACGGCACGGTCTGACGACAAAAAGGGCTATTATGAACCATTATTATCATGGTAATTAATGTCAACATCGAATAAATTCAAAATTTCAAGTAACACGACTTTCACAACCTATTTTCAACACACCAGTTATAACAGGATATTGGCGCGTACAACAATAGATAGCGTATTCCGCATTCCGGAGTCCGGTAGTCCGGTAGTCAAAGATGGAGGGTGTTCGAGCAGGTGGTTGTTTTCTGTAGATATAGACGGATTGTCAGTGATCCTTCTTGTCCTTTGAGAATGATTTTGTTCTTTCTGACTACAACTTATTTCAAAGACTTCGAATGTTCGGTGAAAAGACGACACTTTTAATTCTGCAATGCTTCAAGATGTTTCGATTTCATTACCTCGGCACAAAGTAACGCCACAAAGGACCAGACGAAACTGGAGCAGCAAATCTGGACTAAAGCACCTGAGAGACGAGTATGTACCATTTATTCACTATCTTTTATCCTTGTTAAGTCTTGTTTCACCTACAAGTTGGACCGATCGAAGTTTTGAACTAACTCTTTTGCTCCTTGTGTTTACTCAAGCGTTCCATAAAATATCCATCCAAACGTCCATAAATAACATAGAAAACATGCCTCAGGTGACAGGTTATAACTATTCCGCTATTATTATCGATAATGACGCATCTGATTTGTGACTTCTCGTCAACTTTGTGCTATTTTTGTTTAAAAAAAAGAATGTTACGTTTCTTCCAATTTTGGTCAAATGACAAATAAGCGTCAAGTCAGATGTACATAATACGTCATTATTGATAAAGTATGAGATTGCCCAAATATTTTATGATTGATTTGATAACCTTAAAGATGTCTTTCAAAGAATATGTGAGAATTAAGTACATAGGTTGTTGGTCATGGGAGATGTTAGCCACTAAAATACCTTAAATTTAGGGTTTGGTCAAAACAGTGAGAAGATGTCCTTACTTTAGACTAAATAATAGGAAGAGATCGAATTAGAGAGTAAAAATAAATTACTGAGCATTAAGTTTGATAAACATAGAAGATGATAAAGTTGATTAGATTTGAAGTTGTCTTTTCTTCTTGTTGAACAGCCAAACCAAAGTCAGACAATTAATTATGCAAAAATGAGTAGATTTTGTCGTTTTTAGGGGGGGTCCCTGTAAATCCCAGGGAATTCAATATTGCGACCTTATTTTTTGTCGAGGTTAATATCTCACCACACCTATCAATTGTGCCAAGTTTGAGCGAAATCTGTGATTTGAGCATTATCATCTCCTGCCTGGTTCTCTCATGGACACACTCTTAAAACAATATCACTCTCTCACTCTCGTCCAATAGTTTCTTTTTTTTTTTGAGCTTTCAAGGACCAGTTAGTGAACGTCCGATGAGAAACCCAGATAAACAGTACCTAAAAATTAGACTTGGGAGCCTGGAAAGAGTAACTGCTGAAATTAAAAGCGGAGATACAGTGCGACAAAGTCGAGAAATCTTAATAACAACTGTACCTAAATTTGCCACACGAAACCATATGTTCGTCAGGTTTCTACACATCTCTTTTTAACTTGGCACCTTTATTTATTTTAGGGCATGCTTTCCAATAATGTTGATCTATGTTGAAAGCCAAAAACGTAGAAGGGTCTAATAGAATCATTCTACATCTTCATTTATCTGTTTAGCAGTGTAACAACTTGATACTGTTTTCTTCAGATTCAGCGGTGTACACTCCTGTAGATGGCGGTAACTGGATGCTGGCTAAGCTTAATGTCCAAATCACAGATCTCGGCTACGCACAAATCGTGGAACACCTCGCAAAGGTGATGATATTGATATTAATTAAAAGTGCTGTTTACATATTTCATATGTCTTTTCCTAAGACTCTTCCAATAATGATAATGATAATGATAATAATCAACGCTATCTTTCTTGAAATTTTTCTTTTTAAGATTCACTATCTGATGGAGCCCTTTTGTGTTATCCTAAAACGGACCTTTTCATCCCAGCATCCTCTGCATCAAATACTCAAGTTTCATTGCAGGGAAATAACTGTCCCAAACACATTTGGAACTCCAAAGCTTGTAAACGAGGCAGCGTTTATGGATTTGCTCTTTGCGTATGGCAATACCGGCACCACAAGGCTTCTGAAAGACTCTCATAAAGTAGCCACGTGGGAGGTGACAAATTTGAAAGAAGAAGTAAAGGTTTGTTGTCATGCTATCTTGCTTTCTTTGGTCATCAAAAAGAGCTGTGACACGAATCTAGGCAAATTCAGACAGTGGAGGCTTTAAAGGAGCTGTGTCACGAAATTCAGCCAAATTAGGTAATTACAAAGTTCCCCGGTAAATTAAGAGAAACATGAAAATAACCGCTTAAAACATTAAAGGAAGGTTAAAATAACACAACAGATACAACAGATGCCACGGATGGGCAAAACTGAAGAAGACTGAAACGGATTAAAATTAGGGTTTTTGAAAACTGTTCAGCCTAACATTTTTTCAAAGTTGATCTCTGCCGACTGTATGCAACTTCAAAAATGTTCAGGGGACATATTTGTTTGCCTCGAATCTCTGATTTTGTCGTTTACATGAACTGTTTCTTTGCTTACTTTAAGTCTCATTGCGAGGAAGGGCGAGTAATTAGCAGAATTAAACAAAATGAACTGGACTGCCGTGACACAGCTCCTTTAAGGAGCAGTGTCATCAAACACAAAAGGAGAAAAAAAATGAGGAAGTTTAGAAAGGATTACAATCGAGATTTTAGAAAACTAGTTTTCCTCACTCTAGCATTTTTTCATCTCTGTTGTTTATAAGTGTAAATAAATAATTATAATGCTTGGGAGACAAATTTGCTTGTCAGGAAGGCGTGATTTTGTCTTTTACAAATAATTCCTTCGCGAAGTGAGTAAGGGGGAGTAATAGGCGGGACTAAATAAGACTGCTGTGAAAAGGCTCCTTTAAATGCTAACAATCCATAAAGCTATATCAGCTATTTTTAACATCTCTTGAAACCTAAATCAGAGCTTGATACTTGCCTCAGAAGCATTAAAATTTCCACTTTTTTATGACATTTTTTTGTCAGAACATTGCTTTATGATTAAAACGTGGACTAGGCTAATTGATACCGATGTGATTAAGGTCCATGGCCTAAAACTATTGTCAAACATTCAATTTCTGTCGGAACTCGATCGGAAGTTTGATAAAACTGTGCATAGCTTATGGATGTGATTGATTCGCTGATTCAGTCAGCGACATGAAACTTCCACCCCTGGCATCAAAAAAGGAACGCTACCTTTTTATTTATTAGAATTTCCGCTCATGAAGGATTTAGTCTTTACTATAAACTTGCTCACTGCTCACAGACCAGACGTTTTGATTACTTTTTGTCTTGACCTTTTTTATGTGTGTGGTGCTAATACACCTTAATAGAAACGTGGACTAGATGACAGGAGACTTATTCCATACTTTCCTTACCGTGATGATGGCGAGGAGATTTTAGGAGTAATCGATCACATGGTGGAGAAATACGTCTCTCTGTAAGTGTTTTTATCAGGCAAAGTTACTGGTCAGGAGAGTTAATAAAATTTTCTTTATACCTTGGCTTATTAACGCGTAAGTTGAAAATTTTTTAATCATTCATACAAAGTATTTCTAAGTTCTTAATAAAATCCTCACTTATTCATAGACTTTCTTCAAAAACATTACAAATCAACAATTATTGAATTCGGCTTCTTGTCATCTGAAGAATTATAGGGATCGAGTAGAGTATCGGCCTCGGCGGATATCACCCTCCGAGATCTTCATAATTCTTCAGATAAATACGAAGCCGAGTTAAATGATTGTTTTACTATTCATTCAAAATAATTCCCAGTTTAAAAACAAGCTAAAACATGTTTACCTACGTCGATGTTAAGTTCATCTTGATAGTGCATGTTTATCGGGAAGTTTAGGAAATAAAGGGCTGTTCAGGTTCTTCGATTCGATACTCTGACATGAACAAATACGAAACTTTGTATACCAGGATTCATCAGTTGGAGGAAACTACTTCATGATCAATAATAGCTTCATAATGACATAGCCAAATTTCTTTCAGATATTATAAAGACGATAGAGATGTCCAGGAAGACAAGGAACTCGAGGCTTTCCTCAATGAACTGTCTCTCAATGGAACTGGAGAGAATGGCGGAATTGGAAGAGTAAGTATGAGTATACCAATGATAACTGCACCTCCATAACGTACATTAACTGGTAACGTGACTTTTAGAAAATCAGAGAACTTTGGGCGCAATGAAAATCAGGAGTGCAAACAGTCCCTCCAAATTCCATTTTAGATTTAACTGGAAAGACTGACACGTACGTTTTTAACGGGTAAATTTCATTTACGACTTGTACAACGCTGTTACTCTTAAAGTGCTAAAACTTGCGCTACTTCAACCTGAGTGAATTACATTTACACATAAATCCTAGTCCGGCCTGACGTACGAAACGTTTCGATCGCCACGTTTTTTTGGAGACGACCAAGCCTATAGCTATGCGGACGAAAACAATGGAAGCCAAGCCAAGAGGAATGGTTATTTTTAGAGCTTTCCTGGTTAACCCCATGTTGCCCAGCAGTTTTTGTAATTTAGGTGCGTTTTGTCTATAAACTTTACGGTTTTCGGTGCGGTTGAGTAATAACTAAAATTTGAATTTCTTCAAGCCTGGCGACCAAAACGTTTCCGCGAAAACCGACGTCAAATTGTCGGGTACTTAATACATTCTTTATTTAATTGTTAAGGGGAATCCTTTTTTAGCTATTTTCACTTAAATAACCGACAGATACAAAAGTTCCCTGCAAGAATTGACTCCAAAGAAGAACTCTGTGATATTGTTACCCGGATCATCTCGCAGCTAAGCCTGCAGCATACCGCAAGCAACTACCTGCTGGCCGACTATGCTGTGTACATCCCTAATCTGCCAACGAAACTGTACAATGATACCAGAGTTAAAAAGGGTGAATTCTCTGTTTACCGACTCCCAAACAGGATTACATCTGCGGTAGGCACAACGTTCATTTCTAAGATTATTGAAACTTCAATTTCAATGCCCTTTTAATTTTGGGTGGATAGTTATAACTAATAGATCACGAAACTACAAATTAAAGGCTGAGGTTACGGTTCGACCGAGAATTAACAAACGCAGTTAAATATCCATGTAATATTATTCACGATAAGACATAATGTTGACTTTTTTGAAATTATTTTGTACCATCTGTGTTACTGCGCGAAAAATAACTTTCGATTCTTAGGTAACATTCTTTTAACCTGTATTTAAAATTAGAAACTAAATGACTGGGGACTTACTAGAAAACTTACAAGGTAAATTAGCCTTGAGTTCTAATAGTGCCTTTGAAATTATCTGTGTGTTTTATTTTTTTGTACTGAAAAAAAATCTTGCAAAGTGTTCATTTATTAGTAAAATAACCAGAAGAGCAAATATAGTCTATCCATGTCTATTGAAACGTTGGTCAGCCTGGAGCTTAATGACTGTATTTCGCAGTTTATAATCTGACTAATGAATTAAATTAAATTGTATGCTATCATACCAAGTTTTAGCTGACGCGATTTGATTTGGCTTTTAACTTTTCAGATTGAGGCAAGCTTCAGCAACTCGTTAGCAAGTCTCCGCTTTGATTCACTGTTTGACTACGGCAACAATCTTGAGGACAGTAAGGCCGCTAACATTGTCAACAATTACTACAGCTACTTGATGCGTGTTGTTCAGCCCAAACTGCAAGAAAGAAACAAGAAACGGAAAGACAAGGATGACCTAACATATCCCTACTTCATTCCAAGATGGATTCCTAACGGAGTTCAGACCTAGTTCATTGGGGTTGCTTTTTTTTTGTGTCATTCTATGGAACGATATGATAACAAAGGCATTCTTAGATATTGACACGTCTAGGAGTGCTAATACAAAACGTAAACTAATGTGACTGGTGTATTTTCTAAAGATCAAGTTTGATTAAGATTAAAACAAAAATAACGGGCAAGATTTTGCCTTGTTTTTGTTGAGGTTAGGATGTTATTTATCCCTTCACTCAGATACCCTACTTCTTTTGAAAAACATGTCACATAGAACTGAAATTTGAAATTGGAAAAGCGCGTCGTAATGGGGGGAAACGCGAAAGTCTCCAATACTCTGCTATCTTATAAAATAAGAAAACGAGCAAAACACAAAAAAACATGGATGAAAAAATAAAAATAAAAGTGTGTTATGAACATTGCTGTGAAACCAGGTTAAAGTTAAAAGGTAAAGCGTCCTAAATTTACGTCGGTAGCTGAATGTAACTAACAAACCTGAGGTGAGGTTAGTTACGCTCATTTTACCCAGTGTTTACCCTTTTCTCTCCATCAGTGCTCCGCCAGCTCTGCCTTAAGGGTTTTTTAAGCTACTCAAAGCTACTCAAAAATGAGAGAAGTCCAACCAATGATTTCAAGTCACACCTGGGAGTCGAACTGGGGGCCTCTCGCACAAAAGGCCGAAACTTGACCAACTGTCCTTGGCCTTAGCTTTGTTAGCAGATATACTTAACTCCTTCACAGACGCAAATCACAGGTTATGCAGAGAAAACAACCAGTGATTCATTTTTTTAAAACTAGCAGATACCCGTAGCGAAAGATCGATTTTGGGGATGGGGGTGCGGCACTACGATATGCAAATGTGTCACTCACTCGCTAAGGTGTCGTCATCTCCGTAATTATAACGAGAACGCCGGATGCAAAACCAAAAAAGGTGTGTGCGTGTGTGTGTGCATATGATTAGATCTTTCAAATAATTGTATAGTCAATTTAGGATATCCTCTCCCCACCATAAGTTTGCCGGAAGCTTAAAAATTTTGCGTGTACCTAATTGTATTGCTTATTAATCGTTCTGCTTTGCACATAAAAGCATTGGGAAGCTGAACAGTTTTGTTCAAAATATTTACTTCCTCTTCTAGAAGGAAATTTTTCAAAGAATAACTCGATTTATAACTTCCTCTTCGAAAAAAAAAAAAGTAGACATCCTTGTGTAAAACCCCTTGTTTGTCTGTGATGTGTTTTATCACTTGAGTAGATGCTTGATTCACACCAAGAAATCATTCAAGAAATTCAATACTTTCGCTCAGTTCACAGGAAACTGACGAAACAAGTTGAGTGTTATCTTGTGTCACTGGTTTTACCATCTGCTCATACGTAGAGCGTTACTTTAGGAAATTCAAATGGCATCTCCAGGCTGATTTACCACGCATCCAAGCAACCACGCCTTTCTCGTTAAAACACTAAACAGTATGGTAATCTCACCGCTCCAGTAAAATTTTCGATCGTACTGATTTAAAATTTGACCTCGATTTTGGCGTTCAAATTTTCTTCAACGGCTGGACGTCTAAATTTTTGCACGGTTAAGGTGGCTCCGCGTAAACGGAAAACGTACGAATTTTCAACCGGTTGGAAATTCGTCAGGTGCTACAGACTTTCTTTCGGCTAGAGTCGGGCATGCTCGAAGCTGCAATTACAGTTTCCAGGCAAAGGATGACCGATTTATTTGAAGAAGATCATTCTGCGTCTTAGGTCTCGCTGATGTAAAGGAAAGACAACAATTGACGAGGAAGTTTCATAAAAGTAAGGAAGCCCACTCCAAAATATGAATAAGTCAACCGACTAGTGTTAGGTTGATTGGATGAACTTGGGCGCAATGGTTTACCAAGAAATAGGTCCCCTTAAAAAACGTTATTTAAAGGCTATTTACTGAGTTGGTTTTAATTCGTATTCATGAAAAATGATTAGAATGTCTGGGAATTCATTTATTCATTTAAAGACCCGAAGTTGTTGGTCCGGCCAGGGTGTGAACCAGCGGTCTTCCGCACGGCAGACCGCGCCGGCACTTATCCAATTGACCTTACCACTAACCAGGCGGTGTTGGATTCGTTCTAAAAGCTAATCAACGTTGAAGCCAAAATTTGGCTAGCTTGTCAGATCACGTAAGAGAATATGTAAGAGAACTGCTAACGATGGGGCTCAACATGCTCAACTTACCCAGTACACTTTCATGATGATCCACCGAATATCTGAAAAAATCAAGAAACCACTGAGTAATAATGATAATTATTGAAGAAGAAGAAGACGAAGAAGAAGAAGAAGTAAAAAAAGAAGAAGAAGAAAACGTTAGCTAAATGGTTCATAAGTCAGTACCCAAGTAAAACATTCTTAGAGATCAAAGCGAAACAACTCTGCGGCAACGGAACAGCATGAAGAAGGGGCATTAATTATTTCACGAAAAAAAAAAAATGCGTAATATTATTCTGTAAAAATAATTATCATTACACAATGATTTACTTCCCACTCTCTTTTTGAACCTGGACGTGACATCCTCAACAAATAAACCCCAGGAAAGTCTTCCTATAATTCAGTGAAAATGGGCTGCAAAAACGCCTCAAAAAAAGTAAATTTGCTAATGATTAGGGTCATTTTTATTTCCATCAACCTCGTTTCATTATTCTTTTTAGAAATGGGCTTCTTTATGGCGCCACCAACGTAATCAGCGTTGTGTAGAAAACGTAAAAGAAAGGTGACGAGGCGTTTACACGTGGTAATCAGATTTCCCCCCACTTTTAGATAGAGCCACAAATGATAAAATCGGATTGAAGGTCAGCGGCTCTCGCTGATTGTTACAGCCCTGTCACCCTTGCACGTTGGGCTCGTGACGAAGACAGTCAATCTGCCTTTCTCCCGGCTTTAACCGCATTAAGACAGAAAATATAATTTAGAAACGCGTTATAAAATTATTCTTTAGACTTTGAAGTTGGTGATACTAGAGTCATGATCTAAGATACTCGGTTCAGCTAGCGTGGATCAGCTGGATGTTAAGGTGGCTCGACTGGATTTTTTGGGGCTGATACCACCCAAGTTTGAGCATTAACTACGTCGGCATGAGTAAAGATATGGAAAAAAGGTTACCATAACTGTATTATATACAGATGAAAATTTCTTATGATCTGGGTTTCATTGCAATCGGAGTCGCCATGACAACGTAATGACGCCATTACGTTTTTCATTTATCTTTGTGTTTCTCTGTAACAGGAGTTTTTTTGAAGAAATCGCTTAAGGGAGTATGACGACATTCTATGAGAGTGTTTTCGAAATATTTTGAAATGCAGTTTTAAGAACCATCAAAACAGTGAAATATGCATGGGTCGCACTTGGCAAATTTTTGGGAGAATTTGTTTACCTTGCGGTAGAAATCTGTCATCGGTGGACATTGCTAAGTGCGACCCTGAGTTTTCAAGTTAGAAAAAACTTTGAAAATCGGCAAAAACATCAAAGACGCCGTAGTGCTTGGGTGGGGCAGGCAGATTTTGGAAAACTCGAGCTAAACAATAGGAATCACAGCGGTAACTGTCAGCGCCTTGTCATGAACGTGATCCATTTGAAACACGATCAATTTAAAATAAACGCGGTCGAATTTTCAGACCTTCGCGAAGAGGCTTCTACTCGGCTATCCTTCGCCATTTCAAGTTTTTTTCGAAAACTCTCTACAGGCAAGGACTTCACTCGCTTATAAACCTTTTAAGGTTTTTACGGGAACTAGCTCTATTGAAGGCGAACTGTCTACGCAAGCAAACACTTCACAGGTTTGTTATTCTCCAAGCCAAATGCACTATTCGTATCCAAGCACTTTCTGGTCTTCTTTATCTGTCCCATCCTCCTGAAACTGGGAATGGAGGAAAAAGATCCTTCGACAAAGGTTCGGACGAAGAAGAGAAAAATCTTTTCTGGTATCTGGCGTTCTTAAGTTCTCGATGTGTCAAAGCAAAAACTATTAACTCCCACTAATGCGACCCTCCTCGGTTGGACTAAAAGTTTTCTTTTCCGGTTGCGGTTTCGAATTTTTGTGGTTTTTTAGCCGGCAAAGATGAAAACTTTTCCCAAGTGCGACCCATGCCATAGCATGCTAGCCGCAAAATTCGCTAATATTTTAAGAAATGATAAGCTTTGGAATCGCAGCTTTATCTCATAGTGGTTTGATTCCATTGAAAACTGCATACAAAAAAAGAGGGGATTTGCTCTGGGCGATCGCGAGTAAGAAGAATTTTATTAACTTGCATTCAGCTGCTCTTGATACAGTTATTGGAGGTAATTTGGTCCATGCCTAAAAATTTCGCATTTTTCCAAAATGCGCTCGATAAATTTTTTTTGTAAATTCGACAATCCTGAGATCAATTGTTAAGAAATATTCCCTGCAAGTTTCAAGAACATTGAAAACAGGGAAGGCTTTTAAATAGGGCTTCAAACATAACCAATTCTTCCCTCAGATTTTGTGTTTACAAGCGAGCGTCCTCATTATTCACTGGTATTGTTTTCAAGTTTCATATACACGTGCACAACTAGCAAAAGATATAAATTTGTGTAATGGCGTCATTACGTTGCCATGGCCACTCCGATTGCAATAAAACCCAGATCATAAGAAATTTTCATCTTTATATAATACAGTTGTGGTAACCTTTTTTCCATATCTTTACTCATGCCGACGTAGTTAAAGCTCAAACTTAATGGGAGGTATCCCCTTAAAAAATCCAGTCGAGCCACCTTAATGCCGGTTTTCTTGGAGAAAAAATGGAAATGTAGAACTTTATGAGATTACCGGTGTTATTGATCAGTTATTTATAATAAATATATTTTGTATTAAGACCGACCCCGACTGTTAACGAATCAGCCCATCCACTAATTAACATCATACAATGCAATTTTGAAAACAAGAAGTGAATGCAATTTCCAAAACAATCGAGAAATGTATCGAGTCAACAGCACATACATTCAAATATTTCAAATAATTAAACGGTGAGCAGCCTTGCTAAGTCCCATATATTTATCAATCATTCATGCAACAATCTCATATTGTTTCACTCAAATTGGTT